TATCACTAAATAGTTATGAGATTAGTGAAAAAAAATTTGCTTGGAGTCATAAATTTTGAGAAATATTTCAATTACTTTATTTAAATTGTAGTACCAAAAAGTTAGAGATAGTTATCTAATAGCTTCTTCCTTTCCTTAAATAATGGAAACTTCATGATGTAGCTATCCATGCACTATTTTTGCCTATGGTTGCAAGGAATATAGTGTTATCTGTAACCTAATTCATGCATGCTCAGTGGGGTTTAAATTTGGCAAGTATGGGGGCTAACAGCATACTAGAACATCAGCCAAATGATCCTGGAACTAGGTTTGTATCTACTGAACATGATGAAGGGTTGCATTATGTTACTGGAACAAACTTGTCACCAGGGGTATGGGGAGGAGAACAAGGAGAGCATAAAAGATGTGTGTATGTTACACCTGTTTAAGCAGACTAGTCTCTCTTGTGTTGAGTTTCATCCACTTGCTCAATGAACTGTTCAAGTAAAAACCACAAAAGGTAGCTTGTGAAACAACATATAAAGAAAATTAGTGACAATGAGGCTGTGTGTGTGTGTGTTTAGATGATCCTTAGATAGTTTTCACAAGAGTCAGTTACTGAGTAACCTACAATGAATATAAAACTTAGCACAAATTGATAAAACAATTGGCAACAAGGAAGCTCAACTATTCAGCAAGGATAAAGATTTTTTTCTACTTCTAATAAAATATCTAGTGTTATTTGTGACTCCAAAAGAACACACTGAACAGCATTACTAAACCACAATTAGTATGCATAAGACACTGCTCACAGGCTGATTCCATAAACTCATGTCGTTTCTGCCACACAAACTTTATCATTTGTCTGAAAGAGCTGGAAACATGAATTGTTTGACCAGTCAACACGCTGCCAGACTTCTATGGTTTAATGACAATGTTTTCTGGCCTAGGCAAGATGCAGTAATTGATGTGATGTCAATAATATACTTGCAGACTGACAATGATAAAAACCCATAGAATGCTGCATAAACTGTACTTTCAATTGATGGATTAAGCAGCATCAATATTGATTTGGAATATGATTTGATGCAATGACTTCATTTGTTCAGGAATTATCTTTGTCAATGGTCCATTTTTGCATCACCACTGAGTATCAGTAGTTTTCATATGAAACAAATGTTTGCCCAGAATTCACATATTCCTAATATATTCTAGCTATTGTTGTCAGAGAAAAAAAAACTTACCTAAAAAGCAATTACCCCCACTTTTCAGAGATACAGTGTGAGACTTTCATATGGATGTCATGCAAGTGACCAAATATGTTCAGAAATATCTAAACTGTCAGCTGTATACAAACCCTTTCTAAGATCATATATTCAGTCATGTTTTTTGTTGAGGCAAGATCAGGATTAGCCTTATACAAAACAAGGTGATTCCTGCATGACAGAGGATTTGTCATAAATGATTTGAGGCAAAGTTTTACAAGGCCAGATGATTTTCCTGTGGCCCAACTGAGTCACTCACAGTAAGTCAAGTACACAGTGTTTTATAGAGATGCCATCCTCGACCATATATGTTGGCCATTGGCTCCAAAAAGAAGCTCATCCACTCACATCATTGTGGACTCAGAAGCCCCTGTCATTACTGGAAAGAGCAATAACAGCTACTGGACTTGATAAATCTATTTTACCCCCAAAATGTTTTAAATAGAAACCTTTTATAAATTTCAACTGACAACAGCACTGGCTGCTTGGACAATGAATGCTCAATGTTTAATATCAGGAAATATTGAATATGATCATGTTCCTGGTCACAAACATTCAGTGGTCAGATTAGTGTTAAAACTTTCCCATGTCTGCCACAATTTTTCTAACTTCTTTTTTCCTATTTCATCACACATGCATCATCAGGAAGAATCCAATCCTGCAAGTTGCAGAGTACAAAACCTTTTAAGGGTATTGCTGTCTCATTTTTTGTTCATTCAATTTACATGTAAGCAGACTATGGCATTTAAACTAGCCATGGTTACAGGTAATGCTTCTTATAGGAATTTTTTGTATCAAATTTTCCTTATTAACATGCTTAATTTTAAATTCTATTTTGTCATTTCAGATTTTGTCTTACATACTCTTAAATTTCCATCCAGGGTTGGCATTTTCTGTTAAAATAAACACAGCAGATGTAATTGGGAAATTAAGTTTTGCTAAACTTTCAATAGTTGCTTTCAGATAACTTTTTAAAAATCGTTATGGTCTGGTTTAAACAAATATGAAGTTGTTGTAAAGTTGTATAAAAACATATCCTTAATAATCAAAAGAAAAACAGAATTTAAATAACTATGATGAGAAAGTGCTTTTTTAAAAAATTATTTAAATGCCTTTATTTTCCAACAAAAGACTTAATAAGGAGAAAATCATGTTAACTTTATTGCAGAAAGTGACTGTTATAGGCATACAAAAAACAAAATTTGAAGGGTCAGGTTTTTTTGTTAAATGTTATGTACAATTATTTTGAAAAGACTTTAAATGTACATATACAAGTATTTTTCTGTTAGTTGCATGTATATGCAAGTAAAATTAATCTGTTAAAAGTAAACTAATGTATTTAAAAATGGTTCTTAAACCCAAAGCTCTGCTGAATAATTTACCTAGTTTCAACACTAATATCTCAACAGGTTTTATATGTTCAATACTAAATTTTCAAGAATAAATCTTTCAGATTTCTCATCTAACTCCTAGCTCTCCCAAACAATTCCATGTTCTAATTCACTTTTTCCTCCCAAATCATAAGAGACAGATTTCCTTTTCATGTTGACAAATTTCTATTTAAGACTGGGATAACTGAAAATAATTATATTCTCAATAAAACCAACCCTTGCTTGAAAATTGTGTGCTTAAAAAGGGAAAAATAATTCAAAATCTAATTGCATAAACTTAGAAAACAAAAGATCCAACATCACACACACAAATCCTTTGCTCCCATATGCCAGAAATCTTGTTAATCCCATGATAATATTTTAGGCTAGCAGCTCTCATCCAGCCACATCAAGTTTAGCTTTTATAGGAGTTGATTTGTGATGAGGTGTTTCAAGTTGACAAAAAAAAAAGTGCTGATGTCTTGCAAAACTTTCCTACTCTATTGTACGTAATGAATCAAGAGGGATTATTTAGAGTTTTGCACTTTAAAGCAATCCAAGTTTACATTGGATTAATAATAAAAATCAATTTGCAACCAATATACTTGAACTCAATTTCACTGTGTGTGTGTGTGCGTGTGTGTGTGTGAGATATGCCTTTTCAGGATATGGACGATCATAGCTTTCTACAGATTCCACTCTTGTTGCTTACAGCAATACTTACTCCTCGCTAATTTCTTGGTTTATGTAGTACTTGTTCTTCCATCAATTTCATTAAAACTTGTCATGTAGATTACCTGCTGCTTTGCTGTTTCTCTTGATTTGAGTATCAAATTCTCCAAGCCTTCCTTCCTCATCACAAGGTCTGATAAAAAAGTATTGGGATTGTTGCTATAGTAATGGAGCTTAAGTACATAGTGAAGACTGAAGCCATTTGACACAAATTGACCTTAAACTGTCACACATACACACTAAGTTATAACATTCTCACTTACTTCCATTGTTTATAGCAGTGCTTGTAAGGGAGGTGTATAGAGTGTGGTTGTCTCTCCACACCAGAGGTTCCATCAGTGGCCATGGCTTGTACAGCAGTTTTGGGCCAAGGACAACATTCCCTAGGTTTGACAACCACCATATTCCCCAGATGTAAACTCCTTGCAACTGTTTCCTCTTCAAAAATCAAATCCCACTTGAAAGGAACAAGATTTCAAGACATTGATGAAATCCAAAAGAATCTGATAAGGCAGTTGTTCGCTATCCAAAAAAAAAAGAAAAAAAAAAAAAGGAGTTCCAGGAATACTTTTATCAATGGAAACTATGTTGGATTAAGTCTGTGGCTTTAGAAGGGAACTACTTCAAGGGAAATTAAATGCCGAATTAATAGGTGTTGTAGTTTTTTTTATAGCACCAATCCTGATGCTTTTTGATCAGACCCCACATATATCCTAAAACTTTCAACTGTCACTCTTCTGATTGTCAAAATGTCTTGTAATTCCTATTCTCCTTATGCTCTATCCATGAGAAACCATTCAAAGTCTTCTGCATTTGACAAAATTGCCAAATTTTCACTGCAATGGAAGAGATTAGACAATGTAATGTTTACTGTAAACTTTTCCAATGTTATTTTTACATCCTTTTAATACCTTATGCAATTTCTGAAAAAAAAAAAAAAAAAAAAGTTTTTATATTCTGATGTGCTTTTTAATTTTTACATCAATCTTTAATCTGTTCAGTTGAATTTTTACACCTGCTTCCTTTTGACATCCTGTCTTATAGTTCATGGTTAGTCCTTCTTGCTTTCCACAACTACCTTGTCTAACAGTTCTTTCTTCCTTGTGTCATCTGTATAGCATATATTGTTAATGTTATATTTGTCAATAATAAATTCTGGTAAGTTTTATAATTCTTTTAGGGTAATTTCAACTGTCCAAGTTAACTCTAATGGAAAAAAAAAATAAATAAAAACAACCCACCCTACATTTTGGAATTCCTGCTCAATTCATTTTCTATTATATAAATGTTCAATTATTTGTATATCTGTTCCACATAGATAAAGTCTTCCTAATACTTCAAGTATTTCTTTTTAATAATATTATTCTTAAACGCTGATACAAGAAACAAAAGATCAGAATAGCAAAGTTTGATCAGATAGCTAGTGACTAAACTGGCATCTCCATCCAATATCAGTTTAGTTGAAGAGGGCAGTTAGCAAACCAAGAGAAATGAAAATATTCAAGAGCAGATGAATTCCAAGTGTCAATCGCCAGATAATGGCTGTATCTAGATAAAAACACTGCAGAGAAGGCAACTGGTAACCACTCTTATCCATCAAGAACAATCATGGTAAAGCACTTCACTCAAACAGTAACAAATGATAAAAACTTACCATCTGTAAAGTAATGGCTGATGGCATCCAAGTCCCACATTATGTCTCCAGTTTGGCCACCAGTGATGCCACGGATCTTGATATCCCAGAATTTAGAAGCGTTGCTTTCATCTGAAAAATTAATCAAATTATGATCTTATTAAAGGCATAAACATTTAATTAAAAAAAGAAAAGAAAAAACGGCATATATGGTTTAACTCGTAAAATTTATATTTCTTTTTGTTTTAAATGCAGGGTTTGAAATAAGAAAACAAGATTTTTCTTTGCACATTGTCCTGTTAAAATAAATTTTTGATGAAGCTGAAAAGGTACTAGTGAATATGTGAATCTAAAACTTACATAGGTTTATCATTTATACTAAAATACTTAGAGAAAAGGAAATTAAATATAGAATAGGCTGTGCTAGAGGTAGTTTCAACCAACACCACAAGTTGCTACAAAACCAAAGCAGAAAGATCTCAGTAAGGACCATTCTTTGAACTTCATGGATTGGCACTACAGAAACACAAAGAACTGTACCAAATAAAAGAAACATCACTTGATGACTTTTGACAGGAGTAACAACTAAAATGGATAGCACACATATATGAAGAGAATATAATAACTTAATCAAGATGTTAACATTCCATACTACTTGAAACAAAAGAAACCTCCATCAATACTGGAAAGAGAAATAACAGTGAACTAGAGAAACCTATTTTCCTGAAAAATTGTTTTAATAGAAAGATTTTATAAAATTTCAACCAAAAGTAGTATGGGCTGCTTGGTCAAAGAATGCAGAATGTTTCTGTATAAGGAAAAAAATAATATTACTTTTACTATTGACAAAAACTAGTTTATTAATATGTAAGTTTTAGGTGACAGCTCAATGGTAGAAGTTAGGTACTGGGAACCTTTCCAGGCTGTAGAGTATTATGTCACATATTATGTAGAAGGAGATTCTATGACACAACACTGGTACCCCCCCGCCAAAAATATTGGATTAACCCATCCACATGCAAAGCCCTAGCAGCAAGCATATGATGTCAATATAAGCAAGCCATTACAGAGCAGCAGGGAGCAGCTCTTGACTAGCAAACACATTGCTTACACTTTACACTGACCAGTGGGACACATGAGATATGGCTCATCATAAGGTGGGCAGCACTATATAAAAAAAATAAAAAAATATAAAAAAAGAAATTCAAGGTAATTTTTTTGTTAAATATGCCTCAGCCCTTTTCACTATACATAAATGTGCCTTAAAAATGGGGGAAGATTTTTTTTTTCTATTTGGAGAAAAAATTTTCTATAATTAAATACTGAAATCTTGGTATAATATTAAAACAGATGACAGCATGAGTAGAACACACAGCTTCATGTGATTAATTTTTAATTAATTCACTTGAAAGGAAAAAAAAAAATTTTTTTTTGTTTTCTTTTTTTAAAATAAAAGTTCTATTTCTTCCCCAGAGAAAAAATTATTATGAAGATTTCCTGTTTCTGAAGTAAAAAGGTATTTATGTCTGATCTTCCTTAGTGAAAATTACCAATGATTTAAAATGATGAAAACATTACCGTCAACAAAAGTTTACAAATTCAAGAAACATTGCCGTTAATCTTTGTTTATGTATGTGGTTATGTATGAGAGAGTGTGTGAGTGAACATGTGAGAATGAAATGAAACCCAAATTTTAAGAAGTGTTAATTTCCTCATGAAATTAGGCATGCAGTTCAGCAAGCCAAACAGTCTGCATGTGGCTCACTAACCAGTTTGCCCATGATTGGTATAAGTAATGACAACTCCTATCAGTGAGCCTTGTTTAAAAGAAAAATTATGGTGGTGGTTAGGATATTTGAAGAGAGAGGTTATCCAGTCAACTGCTCAATCACTTTTCTTATAATTGATGTCCAACTGGCAACAACTTTGAATGAAATTTGCTTTTAAAAATCAGCACAGGTGAGTGTCTCTAGGTTCCATGGCAATTATTAAGTACAAATTAATAGAAGAGTGGTATAATAGAATGTAAATGATTGTCAATAAAATGAATTAAATCACTTGGTAGTAATAGCAATTGGTGACAATGCATGTTCAGAGTTGTTGCACTTTAAGCAACTTATAATTGATGTTTGTCAGGTTTAGTGTATCAAGAATTTAATTATATAAGGATTTGTTTTAAAAACAAAAATTATTATTAAATCAATAGTTAAAAAAATTAATGATGACCCTCGGACACCAGATGAAATTTACATTAAGTTTCATGTTTGGAAATGAAAGTCTTATAAATAGACCAGACATAATTAAATCAAAATTAATTAGTCAATATTTCATCTGATATTGAAATATATATTGAAAAATACCAAACTTTGTTAATATAAACTCATGTTGCCACAATATTTTAGTCAATCAATTCTATGGCTGCCTTCACTTGTATAATCTTCCAGAGAAGACCCCTTTTAATTTTATAAGATAGTAAAGTTTGGAGGGGGGGAATTCAGTTTATTCCATCAACATTATACAGATAATACAAGATATACGACACAGGTGATTTAACAATGATCCCTGTTTTGAGACCTAGACTAGCATTTCTATTAACTTAATGGAGATGTTTTGAGTACAGTTTTGGTCCCTTTAATTATTAGAAGAAAGATGGCATAGCTATGGGGTCTCCACTTTCTACAATTTCTACCATCTAAATTAAGTTTCTGAAGATCTTGCCTTATGACCCACCCTGTTGAATTGGTATGTGAATTATATTGTTATACATTAACCATACTAGATGAAGATACAAGTTGTATTGAATCAAGGGAATTGAATTAGGCCATTTTTACAGTTCATGATGGAAAAGGTGGACAACAATGAATTTCTCATGCCATTCTCAAAACCTATACAGAGGGGCAGGCACAGAGTACACTGATGGGTATCACACAAACATACACAAATGAAATGTATCTGAAATTGGGTTCTAACCTATAAGTTAAGAAAGGGTTACACATAGATGCCTAATAGGAGGTGAGGGAGAACATTTATTTTCTTTTTGAAGAAATGCTTCACCCACTCCCAGCTTATTAAGACCACCCTGTTTATTAATTTTGCACTTTTCCCCAGGAAATGGTAATTATAATTGGTTCTAGAATTTTCTTTTACTTACATTCTTTTATGATTACTTCAACAAGTTGCATAAAGTGGTTTTATTTTTTAGGTTTGTCAGCAACCTTATTCAAGATCTCTCGCATTTTCTGATTTGATTTTTACGTGAATTATGCAAGTCAATATTTAATTTATGCAAGCCTTTTTGTGTATACTATTGAAGTTGTGCCAGGATTTCTTCACATGCTATTTTCTCAGAAAGTTCCATAGATTCTGGGTATAAGATTAGGTATTATAGTAAGGGTCATGAAAAGATTAAAAATTTATTTAAATTCTAAATGATTTTCCAACCCCACCACTTTATAAGACCCCACCATTTATTGCATGATTAAAAACTTATAAATTCCAATCCCTCCAATTATTAAGACTCCTCCCCTTGTATTAGGTACCTAAAAGTAGTTTGTTGGTTGACTAACACCAAGTTGTAAGTATCAATTATGCTGAAAGTAAGTATCTCTATTCCCAATGCAGCAATTATTGTCTTTACTAGAGTTGATGTCTTATGAAGAGTTTGACAAAAGATTTCATTTTTAACATCCCATGCAAATATATGAAAGAGAACAGCTGGCTTCCATTGATAGTCAAACTAGAGAAAAAATCCTATCCAAAGGAAAGGTGAAAATACTGGTATGGCAAAGTTATCTAAGGAGAGAAGGGCACACATTACCTTCAAGAAAAAAAACATTCTTGATAACAGACAGGAAACACTGCTGGAAAGTGAGAAATGTAAAGTGATATATTATGACAAATTACATAATGCCAGTATAGAGTTATTTGCTTAACAGGAAGGAATTAGGGAAAACTCCAATGTATAAATTAGAACTGCCTGTGTTACTACTATTTTCTGTTCATCTTGTTTTGTGAATGTGTGTATGTGGGGAGGGAGAGAAGAGAAACATACCAACACCCGTCTTTCTTTATGGATCATAAATGAAGGTAACTACAGGCTGAATCAGCCAAAATATTGTGGTAGCACCAGCAACACAAAGAATAAAATAGTTTGGATAAATCTTGAAATCCATTCTTTATACTATGGAGGGAAAAGGGTAGCCATCAGTCCCTGTGGAATGAAGTGAAAATACTGGACAAAGAAGGACATTAGAGAGTTAGAGGTATGAAAGAACCAGCATATATGCTAGTCTATGAGGCCTACCATAGAAATAAATACAATATATGAGCTGCTAATAAAGAACGATGAATAACCTTAAGTCTCCAATAACACCACTAATCAGCAGGCAGGTTAGATTTAAGGCTCCAAGCTCACTGCATCATTTTCCTATGGGACAATAGCCTAGTAGATCAAAGCATTAGTTTGTGAATTTGATGACAGTAAGTGTCAGTTCAATTCAAAGTCAAGCAGTATGTACTTGAACTCAGTAAAAATAGGTAAGCACTATCTAAGCAGTACTAAAAATAAGAACTAGATGAGATCTCTCTAGACATGGATAGTGGAACAAGAACAATCTAGCCCCATAGATTGAATAAAAGGTTCAGTTTAGAATTCCCTCTAGTTTACACAGATCGATATACACCAGATGAAGGCCTGGGGCACAAATGCTGAAACATAAAGAAAAGGACAATAGTCCAATTGTAAATAGCGTAAATAATGATAACTCCTTATCTCAGAAATTTGAACAGAAACTTGAAATCTAAAGTTCAAATAAATGGGACTGATGATGGCAAGCTAGACATTTTCTTTAACATTGTTCTCATTCATGTGAAAGCAGTTGAGAACTTAGTTTAAAAAATTTTCATTTCAAATTATCTGCCATAATGTTAAGGAATGACAGATTTTTCTATTTATTTATTTACTTTTTTAAAATCATTTCACCCCAAGCGAGGTAATAATGACACTAGGATGCAAGGGAGTCAAAGAGAATGAGGAGACTTTAGTGAGGGAAAAGAACAATAAAGGAACAGATTTCAGGAAGACGGAAGATGGCAATTGACATTGCATTAAACTTTTGAAGATGTAGGTGGCAGAGAAGCAAGAAATTGGGAGTTCCACAGGCAAGAAGTGCTAGAAAAGAAACTATTAGAATAGAACATACATTTGCATCTAGCTAATTCAATAGTAAGACAGTGAGACCTAGTTGCCAATCTAGTTGCATGCTTAAATTCTTGCAGTTGAGGCACCAAGGAGAAAAGTTCAGAGCAATTGCCATAAAAAATATTTGTAGAAAAGAGAGAGAAGCCATGTCCCGTCAGTGAGAAAGTGACTTGAGATATATAGCAGGCGCACCAGACCAGGTATGGCACGAATATTCAATGCATGGTAGATTTATAAATATGCAAGATGGATCCTGACAAGAAAAATTGTCTGGTACGATACAATGGACCAACTTTCATAGGAATAGACCTATTACTTGATTCAATATAATCACTCGGTTTAAAATGTTTTACATTTGGCTTCAACTCAAAGATGCTTACTGGTCTACTCAGTGGGAAGGGGAGGAGAAGAATTTCTTTAATCAACTATTATATCTGCTAAGAGCGTCGTAGAGTATAAATCATATGGATCTTTCTGAACTGTGAGCAAGTTTCAGAAATCACCATTTAAAGTTTTTATTTTTTCTTCTTTTTCTGAATGGAAAATTCTCTTTTGATAGAATAGATAATTCACTCTATAGAGATTCTCACCCCATTTCTCAAGGGTGAATTCCTTTATATAACTTCTATGACATTAAGAGTTATGGTCTACAATGTGTTCTAATGTGTGAAAATCTTTATACTTATCTGAAACATACTAATTTAGAAATAAATGCAGTCAAATAATCCTGTAAATAAAATTTCATATTTTTGAAACACTTAAGTTCCAATGAAATCCAATTTCTTTCACCAAAATCTGAAAATGCAGCTTAAATTTCTTAATATAGACAGTTTTTTTAAAAAAATTAAAATACTGCTTTATTGTTGAAACTGTTATATAATGGGATCTGTTTCAGTGGTATTACGATCATGATATTAACAATGGATTTTTTTTATCTTCTAGGCAAAATTATTCAAGTAAGAAAATTCTCAGACAAAAAAAAAAAAAAAAAAAAAAAAAAAAAAAGATTAAACAATATGGTGGAAATGCTGGAAAGTTCTCAGCTTGACCTACTTCCAAAAATCTTACCAAACATCAAAACCATTTTTGGAAGTGCTTCTTGGTCAGGATGAGAACTCATCATATGGATGAAATTGATTTCTGACAGCTTTTACTGAGACGAGTGCTAAACGGCTTTTAAATATGCATTCTAGCTCATTCAAGAAAGGTTAAATTATTTCTGATAAGATCTTCTGTACTTATATAAAGTCACATGACTTATGTACATGGTCTGTTTGTAAGTAAATAGCTATTTTAAATGTTATGAAAAACCCTTATACAGTCTTGATGTCATTCAGCAATCAAAGAAGACCTTACTGTACATGTGTTAACAGAAACTCTTGTGGAGTAGCTCAGTTTTCAGTGAGATGCATTTGAGTGAGCTTGTGTACTGTGTGATGGTATCATTCACAGCAACTACATGTCAAGTTTTGATTGAGGCTTACATATTTATCAACAAATTTAATTGAGTATCTGTCTATATTTCTGAGATGAGGTATTATGTACATTATTTACATTATTCAGACTATTGTCCTCATCTTTGTCGCCATATTTATTACAACGTTTCAGCCGTTGTACGATCCGGCCTTCCAACCACCTTAGGTTGGAATGTCGAACCCAACCCTTCACACCGCTCAGAGTTCAATACCTGGTTAAGGCAGTGGAGAACTTTCAGAGGAAAATTAACAGGAGATAAAGGATAACTGATATACATTAATGGTACGTGGAACTGGATTGGTCTGACCCAGTGAGCGGAGTGAAGGGTTGGGTTCAACATTCCAACCACCTGAAGAAGGCTGGAGCATACAACGGCTGAAACGTTGTAATAAATATGGCGACAAAGATAAGGACAATAGTCTGAATGTAAATTTAATTGATTATACTTTTGGGGGATGATTTAATGAGTGAAGCCTGGGTACTGATGCTCCCAACTTAGAAAGCACCTGAAAATGTCCAGCATATGCATGTTGCAGTTAAACAGCGTGTTTTTCAAGTTTTGTGCAGGGTAAAGAGTGGGGGATAAATACTGCATCACCTTTCTTTGATTTTGTACAACAATGTCAGCTTTGTAGTTTTATATCAGAAACATTAAAAACAAACATCACGGATTTCTTACAAATATACACCCAAGAAAAAATCTAAACTAATAGCATTTGAGATGAATGATAATCACATTAATAAAGAGGGTGATGTATAAGCAAGTAATTTATTTGGTATATATTATGTTTGTATAAAAGTTCCCAAAGCTATCTTTTGTATAATATTAAAAAAATCTTGAAAGTGTTTAAAATTTACTCATTTCAGAATGCTCATTGTTTGAAAAATGTCTTTTCTTTTTGCTTCACTCACATGTGATTTTTATAAAAAGATAGTAACTGGAGATGAAAAATGGATTTATGAATCTTGTAACTCAGTCTAAAGAGAATCTACTGGAAAAGAAAATGTGTGTGATGAAAATCAAAAAATATTTTCTACTACAAATTACTGGAAACTGAAAATATGATTATATAGTAAGCAATTGGCATAACATATTGCAACAGAAGACCTTGAGGCAATGACGTTGGTGACATTGCTGCAGGATAATACCTATCCCCAAATTACAAATATAACAATTCCTGACCAGGAACAAGATGTTATTTTACATGCAGCATATTCACCAAATTAGTTACTTCCAGACTCATTTATTTCACTCAAACTAACAGTGTCTGGTCAGTAGATGCAACAAGTTCAAGAGATTAAGAAAAGAAGCCACTTGAAGAATGCATCAAATCAAAACTGGAATTACACTTTCATATAAATGATTCTATCAAGCAATTTTTGCATAAACTTTATATATAAAAAAACTGGATTTTTATACCATTACTCTTATATATAATTTATTATTGTAAACAAAAAATAAAAACCATCTATTAGGTTTCCAAATTGTACATTAGGTGAATTTATTTTACATGTACACTCAACCTTTGCAAGATTTTACAACAAAATTTTGATCCGACACGAAGCATATCTGAAACACGGGTACCTACTATTGGTGTAGTGATTGGCAAACTGGGCTGTGAGATTAACTTGCTAAAGTAGTAAGTTCAATCCTCATAAATTGAACCACTATTATGACCATGTGTCAGACTTTTATATATAATTGGGTACTTTACCATAGGGTAATGGTGATAGACCATTACAGCTGCATACTGAATTCCAGGTGCCCAACACTTGTTGCCTTGTGTCAAACTAAACTTCTTATGTAAATCTTGTTAGTAAGAGAATCCAATATCTTTTTTTTTAGTTGACATTGAAAAAGGCAATGCTGAAAAGTTCTCAAGCCAACCAAGAAGAGGTCAAAAGAATTGCTGATTGGTCATTTGGTTAGATTTGAGAAAGTGGATTGGACTGAGAACTTTTCAGCATTCACCAAGAGACTTTTTGAATCTAGATTTATTGTTATACTAAACTGAAGCAGATGCCTATAGTCTAAAGGTTTTCATAAAACATGTACTGAAAACTCTTGTGTGTGTGTAAAATACTGATAACATTTCAGAGCCATTATGCAAACAAAAGAAATCAACCATATATTCCATACCAAATTCTCTGGAGAAAAACAACTGTTTTTTGTTTATAGCTTATCAAATCAACTCTTTGTGGGTTATTTAAAGCTTAAATACATTTTGGATTTTAGGAGATTGCTTATCATACCTGGTGTTCTCAAGCAGTCTCCTAACTAAGTACTGATCGGGCTCAATGCTGCTTAACTCTGGTGATTGAACAGGAACCAGTGTTTTAAGCATGATTTTACCATAAGCTAACAACCTGAATAAGAGAGAACTGAAAATTATTCTGCTGCTCCATGGGTTCTGGTTGGATTTATTTTTCCTTGTTATTTTGTATTTTATTTATTTTACTTATATGATATTTTTAATGCTAAAATGAATTAAATTAAATGGTTTCTAACAATGTTAGTATTAATATTAATTGTAACATATCTGCAACATATTATAGCCCAAAATAAACAGCTAGGTGAAGGAGCTTTCAAATTTGAGTAAAATTTTATTAAGCATCCCTATTATGACCCAAAATTATAGATACAATTTGAAATCTAAGTTTCTAACCAGAAACTATTTACTGAAACCAGTTAGCATTGCCAAAATTTTAGACAAAAGGTGAGAGGAGAACAGTGAATGTCACATAAAAGAGCTTTTTTTTTATTACAAAGTCTATACAGAAAAATATTCAAAATGAAAGTTCAGAAAGCTAGTCATGGAAACCTGCTGTTATGACTTAACCACAAAAATGAAGTTGAGAAAGGCTATTTTAAGGCTGCAATATACAAAACGATCATGAATGTATTGGAAGTAGTTAATAATAAGAGTTGATAAAGTTACTGTATAATTAGTTTCAATTAGTCACAATAATTATACACTATGTTTCTGTCCTGTGTAGAGTGAGAGCCTTCAGTTAGCAATAATGGGAACAAACACTTGGCGATATTTGTTAGGGAACCATTAATTATAGATTGATAGAAAGCCAATATCATTTATAATGAAAATATTAAAGAGTGGGGAGGCAAGAAGGGATTTTAACCTCATTCTCAAGTAACAATATTTTTATGAATGGAGTGGAGTTAAGCTTTAGGCTAAATATTCAAGAATGTAGCCACAAATGAGACAATTATGCTGTCTCTTCAAGATAGAAAAAAGGCATTTTTGTTTGACTAGTGTTCATTTTCTATAACAAATTCTGATAAAGCTTTATGCCTGAAAATATGACAGCATGGAACAATTTAGAATTTAAATGTTTTTTTAACACTATATTAAAGTGTCAGAAATATAAACTGGTTTCTGAGCTTGCTTAAGTTTAATTTAAATTCCAATAGCCACCATATTTATATTCAGTCATAAAAGAATTTCACATAGCATTATGATATAAGTGTCCTGTGTCAGTAATGATTTGAAACATTGAAGTCACAGAGAATCAATATCAAAAACTGTCCATCTAGCGAAGTTAATATTGTTAATGAATTATACACATAAATATCAAAAAATATACGCATCATACAATGATTTTGAAAAATAACCAATAGGAGTTCAAATTTTGATTCATTAACAAAATGATATTTTTATTTAGAATTATGTGAATATCTTTGAAAGGCAGAGTCCACTATAAACAAAGAAAACTTAGTTGCTGTTTATATGCTTGAGTCAGGGGCAGAGTAACAGCCTGATGATCATAAATGATCTGAGAATACATTCCACATGTTGTGCTTGTAAAATCTATAGAAAAAGATTTCTTGATAAAATCTAAAAATCTTCAATTTATGTCCTGACTGGGCATATCACCTTCAGTCACTTTTCACGCCACTGTAATATAGCTTCTCTGTGACTTTCCTATAAATACTTTCATAGTAATTGTTTTGACAAACTTTCCTCTTTATTTTTAAAACAAATTGTACATGTAGGATCTAGTTAGGACTTCATAGAGACTTTGAGGTATTATGATAGCTGTAGTAAAAATGTGTTGTTTTGGTGTAAGGAATACTGTGGTATGTTTAGGTCAGTCATTGTGGCTAGCTAAATTTAAGATAGGACATTGAAAACCAGCCTTCCTCATTCCCCCTTTTGGCCTTGTGCCACTTTTTTTGTATTTGCAAAATAAATATTACTTTCTTCTGTGGCACTTAGAATTTATTAATTTAAGTGCAGTACTAGATTTGCAGCAAGGTCTCATCATTATACATTTGAAATGACTAGATGTAACCATGAGTTCTATGCTAACAGTTTTTCTCTCACACTTCTTGCTTGTGGCTTGCTTCCCAAGCAAAATTGTTATCTTCTGACTTCTTAATTCTTATTCTCTCTCCTTAATAGCAATTTTTCTCATTCTCTAACACTCAGTAACCTCGTGCATCCTTGTGGCTTTATTGCCTTGCTTGATGCTTGGGTTGAAATGATTAAAAAAAAAAAGCCTGGGCAATACAAGATCAATGTAGAAAGCTCGAAAGTTTTTAAAGTCACAAACTAAATGATCTTGTAAAAGATTATTATAATACTCCTGATACTTATAGTATGTGAGTATCCTTATAAATACACATTTTAACTGTGATATTAGTCTTTTCTGATAAAATAGAGTTGAAAAATAAAATCCAAAGAGAGAAAGAAGTAATAAGATAAACAAATTATTTCTTGGCCAGATGTAATGAATATTTGGTCGAGCAGGCGAGAGAGGTTGAGTTAAAGTTCTTCACAGTTCTGACCATTTTTCTCAGTTTATCAGAGAGCTACAGGTTGCCATAGTAGTATAGACCCAGATTTTCATGGTGAAGGCACTCTTTTTTTTTTAACACAACTAGTACATTACCATCATATTTTTCTGTTGTAACTAAAGTTGTTTTTCACACAAAAGCTTCTAGGCCACAATGATTGTTGTGGTAGTAGAATTGAGTATGAACTTAACATAGCAACATTGCTTAGGGTTTGGTGAAATTCATCTAATAAAAATAAGGAAATTATATATCGTCCCTTGCATGTGATAAAACATATGGAAGGGAAACCTGACAGAAGAGTTTAGGGGTGGGGAAGGTGTAGTAAAGTGGCATGAACTGTCTCCAATAGAAGAATAAATAAATGATTCTTTTCACATCTGTTTTGCAGACTTGGCAGATTCACAAGATGCTTGGTCAATGCTAAGAATTTAAATCCTAAAATTTCAATGTTATTAATTTATAATATAAACTGCTTTTTTGAAACATTTTTATCAATGGATTGAAGCATAAAAAAAAAAAAACAAAAAACACTGTTCTGAATCTGGATATAGAATAGGAACTTTCATGAAGATGAGAAGAAATACCTTAAAGCATATGCTTTAGATAACTACTTTCTGAGATATTATGTATATATAAAACAAGATATGAAATCTCAAGTGGCTGTTTTAACACTTTGACATAAACTAATTCAGTGAAATGATTAACCTAACAAAATCATTCTAGTTATTTACTGATATTTTATGATAGCTACTAAAAATGAAATATCTAAGTTGTGCAAAGAATTAATTATAATTGTCAAGAAATTTCATAAAATATTACTAGACAATACTTAATATTTACCCAGTTATGGGTAAATAACAGAACAGACTGGGTCCTATAGCCTTAGTTGGCAACTGGTCTAGGAGAAGGACAACTCTGAATTCAAAACTGTAGCCCTGGTTAAGCACTTACTATACAGCTAAGGAAAGGATTGTAGAGTTCACACTGACTATGATCTTGACTACAGTCAGCCATCATTCACAATACTTAAATTATTTGCAGCTAACCTTTTGTATTGTGTCAATCAATTTAAGATTGTACCAAATTTATGTACAGATTGCTATTATAAACATTACATCCTGCTTAGATAAAAGCTATTGGGACCATGAATTTTATTCCTTATTAGCTATTCTTTTTCTGTATAAAAAAAGGACAAAATAAACATTTGATTCTGTTCTTTCCCAGCTGGCTCTTATGACATAGCTATTCCTTCAATATCATTTTTTTTTATTTTACAATGATGTTCACCTTGTAGAAGGCCCAAGATCCACTAGGGTAGAAGATAACAGAATAAGAAGCACAGTTTGTGGGGATATGCAAGGAAGATAACAGTTGATCCTAGACTTAAATCGGTTAAGATTGTAGTGATCTGGAAAGAATCCTTTTAATCATCAGATTTACAAAATAGCAGTTCATGGGAAGAAACTGCTTGAGTGGAAATTGCATCTTACCAATAGAATACAAAGGGAATGTTCCATTTAACTGGAGTCCACTGTGTGCCAATGCTTTTTTTTTTTTTTTTTTAAAACCAAGCATAGTGTTGTAAAAAGTTGAACCCACAGAGGATTCATAATAGAAACAAGGTTTAGCATGAAAGAAAATTTAATTATCTCTACATTAATGCAAACACTTATTTTAAATACTGAAATGGGACATTGATTTTGGAATAATTTGTGGTGTATGTCATTTTTTTTTTTTAATTCATTTCAAGCTAAGCAATAAAGTCACTAAGATGTGAGGGATTACTGAGAGTGAAAAAACTTAGAAAAACACTGAGTAGAAAGGACAATGAAAGAAAGAACAGGATTCAAAAAGATAGATGCCAATTGATATTACATTTAAATTTTTGTAGATTATCATTGACAGGAAAGCAAGAAACCAGAAGAGTATTCTACAAGTAAGAAATGCAAGTGAAGAAACTATTAAAATAAAACTTATGGTTATATCTAGCAAATTCAAGTTAAATGATAATGAGAGTTTACTGCCAATCTAATCTTGTGCTTAAATTCATGAAGTTGAGATATCAAAGAGAAAAGCACATCAGAACAATTGCCATATATTTATAGAAAAGGCACAGGGAAGCTATGTTATGGTGGTGGGAAAATGAAGGCAAGATGCCAGGTCAGAATCAATGACATTGCAGATTCTTCTTTGGATTTCTTAAGGTTAATTAAATTTTTTTTTATACTAAATCAGTTTCTTTTATGTATGTGTATCAATAACTTTGTAATTATTAGCTAAATTTTTATCTAAAATTCTCATTGTATAATATTCAAAATGATTAATATTTATCATTGACTTTTTCTGCCTGAATGTCTAGGAGTTATTGACATGCAGGATATTGTCAGCATCTTTGTTGTTGTTATCACATTTTGGTCGTTGTTCCCTATGGCCTTCCATGAAGTTTACTTGGATTGATATACATCTGATGAAGACTGGAGGGTACAATGGCTAAAAAATTATGATAACAACAAGCATGAAGACAACAGTCTACTACTAAA